AAAAAAAAAGTAAGATCAGCTTATACTTCTCTTTTTTTGAACTGTTTTCTTATATTTTGCTTTACTAGACTTATAGAATGAATTGTATGTTTCTTGCCCCGCCTCTTATCATTTTTTCTGAATATCTATGTAAAACAGATGATTTGTGTTTGGAAAATTCCGTAAAATTGTCCTATAAGCTGTCAAGGCACTGGTATCTTTTTTGGTTTCCTCTTTCATCCAGGTATTTTTTTTTAAGTTTATTTATTTATTTTGAGAGAGAGAGAGAGAAAGAGAGAGAGAGAGAGAGAGAGAGAATCCCAAGCAGGCTCTGCCCGATGTAGGGCTCAAACTCACGAACCATGAGATCATGACCTGAGCCGAAATCAAGAGTCCAACGCTTAACCGACTGAGCCACCCAAGTGCCCCTAATCCAGGTATTTTTTTTTAAGGAGTGAGTTTTAAAGTTCTGAAACATAACAGATGTTTTAAAGTGTCTTTTAATTGTTGAGTAATTCGTATTGTGAAAGCTTAATTCATACTGTGGGTGGAATTTGTGGCCTGTTGTTCTGTTGAGATTTCCTTTGTGTCTTAAAGCTGGGTCAATTTTTCAAAATATCTATGTGGATTTCCAAAGAATAAATTTTACCTTTGTGGCCGTAGGTTCCACATGTGTCTAATTTTGTTTTTCTAATACTCTATATTCCGATCCATCTAACTGGGCTCAATCCGTACATTTCTGATAGACTTGTATGAAAATCTTCACCGGTGCCTATGGATGCGTCTATCTGTTTCTCCTCACAACTTGGTCCGTGCTTGTTGTCTGCCCATCTACCTGTATTTGCCTGTCGCCCCCACCGGTGACGTGGGCTTGCTCCCAGGTTTGAAGCTCTGGGGTCCTGTGGTGTGGGCAGGTGAGGCAGCCGCTCGGGGCCCCTCATTAATTCATTCGTGTATTCACTCGTCCAGTCCAGGATTCGTCCAGCCCCTGCTATGTGCTACCCATGCACGTTTATTCTTGTTTTCTTCATTGTATCAACTCTCGTGAGATAAATGAGACCCGCCGAACACGGATGTGTGTTTTCACGTGATGTTAACGTGTGTGCGCGTGGGTAGCACTGTTCTCTTCCAGAGGAGTTAGTGTTTGCGTTTACCACGAAGTGACCGCGTCCCTGGCGGAGGCCTACAGATCCGTTCCCCGGCTGTCACTCAGACTCAGCCTCTTACCCCTCTCCCCTCGCCCTACCCCGGATGCACTGGCCTTCTTACTCTCCTCAGACACCCCAGTCGTACTCCTGTCTCAGAGCCCCGGCACATGGTATCGTCCCCCTGGGATTCTCGTCATGTTTCCGCGTGTCCTGCTACGTGACTTTGTTCAGTTCTCTGTTCAAAGGCTACTCTATCAGAGGCCTTCCCAAAGCAACCCGCATAAAACAGCAAACCCCTATCTCTCTCCATCATCCTTACTCTGATTCTTCTTCATGAACGTAGCACTCTAGGATTGTCGCTACCTCTCAGCTTGTCTAGGTTGGTGGTACTGCCCACAGGATGACACGAGTCATCCGTAAACTAGGCGTGGAGACAGAGCTGCTGTGGATTCTCTGTTGCCCCCCCCCCCCAAAGAAATGAAGGAGAAATGGCTGGGACTGGGGAGAGACCTCCGTCGGGAGAATCGGAAGGCAGGGGTTTTGCAGACAAGGAGGAGAGAGCCATCGTCACATGGCATGAATCCAAAGGGAAGGAGATTTGAGTCTGCGTGGGAGCAGGGTCGGTGCGGCTCGGGGCAGCCGTGGGTAGGTAGGAAATGCCAGTGTTGTCTGGGACCCAAGAATCCCTGCCGTTGACGAGAAGGACGAGCTTCCTATCTGGAACGTCCGTGGGGGAGGCAACATCTTCTAGACAGGGTCAGGGTGTACGTGAGGCAAGAAGGCTGTAGGAGAATTTTGTGGGGGGAAAAATTAGCGTAGAGAAATTTACTCTGAATGAGGGACGCTTGGCAAAGGTCAGAGGGTGGTCCGCAGTGGAAGGAAAGGTTTCAGGGCACAAATACAGGGCAGCCGCGGGGTGAGAACACGGGACAGGATCTCTCACTGAATTGGCTCGGACGGTCAAGAAGCAGCCAAGAAGGCAGAGATGAGGTGTTGATTTCAACTGACATCCTCAAAGCGAAGGTTTAAAGTCTAGCATGGCGTCGAGAGCTGGCATCGGTGCTGGACATTCACAAGGAAGGAGATACTTTGGTTGTCTGGCGTGGTGGACAGAATAACGCCGTCCCGCAAGGAGGTTGTCCTAATCCCCCCAGGGTCCGCTAGCATGGTACCTTTTGTGGCACGTGTGGTCAGAAGTAAACGCCTCGAGGGACTCTATTATTTGATGATGCTACATTATTTTTCCATTCTACTGCTGAATCCCATTCTGGTGAT